CCAGCAATAGCAGCAGCAGCACCAGCGGCAGCAAGGCAGCTGCATGCATGGAGTAGTGAGCAGCACACTATATGAGCTGAATGTCCACGATGGAAGACCGGCTGGGGCATAAATCTGCTGCTGTTTCCGCTGACGGTGGGACGGTAGCAGCCGCGTCACCTGCAGCTGCAAAACGTTCTTCCTCTTCTTCCGCTTCTTGTAGCAGCGGAGAGGGGGAGGAACAACAGAAGAAAAGTAGAGATAGTGTTAGTAGCAGTACAGCAGCAGCAGCTGAAGACTGTAACGGCAGCAGCAGCAGTAGCAACAGTCACAAGAATGTTGACAGAAGCGATTGCAGCAGCACTTCCACCAGCAGCGGCTGCGATAGCGCCGACTGTAGTAGCCGCAGCGGCGGCAGAGTAGAAGATTCTGTGAGTAGGAAGCTAGTGGTGGAGGAGGCGGTGGCCATAGCAGCAGCAGCGACGTGAGTGGCAATATTAGCGGCAGCAACAGCAGCAGCAGCAAGAGCCAGCAGCAGCAGCAACAGCAGCAGCAGCAGCAGTAACAGCAGCAGCAACGGCAGTCACACGAGCCATGGAAGCTGCAGAAGCAGCACCGGTAACAACAGTGAAGGCGGCAGTAGCGGCATTAATAGTACTAGCAGTAATCCAGACAGCGGAAGCAGCGGCAGTAGCAGCGGTACTGGCGGCAACAGCAGCAGCAGCGGCAGCAGTATTAGCGGCAACAGCAGCGGCACCAGCAGTGGAAAGAGCCATAGCTGCAAAGGCAGCAACGGGCACTAACGACAGCAGAAGCAGCGCTAAGGCAGCGAATATCGCTCCTACAGAATGTAAAGGGGAGAGCCCCGGTAGTAGTGTTGTACGTCATGTGTATACTACTACTACTAGTTGTTCTACATACAGTCGTATGGATAACGGTAGAGATTCTCAGTTCGATACAGCTGCAGCAGCGGCAAGTACTACTAGTACTCCTACTACTGCTACTGCTAGGTCCCCTTCTTCGTCGTCTTCTACATGCAGTAAATAGATACTAGTACAGCGTCTACTCCGTCTAATGCTGCTGCTGCTGCTGCTCCTTCTGCAATACTACTACTACTAGCCCTACTACTACTACTAGTACTAGTGCTACTACTACTGCTACTAGTAGTTCCTCTAGTAAGTGCCCTCTTCCTCTTGCTGCAGCTGCTGCTGGTGGTGGTAGTGGTGGTCCCCATACAGCCATAATGTGTCAGGAAAGCAAGTCTGCCACTACTACTACCACTACTGCTGCTGGTGCTGCTACCGGTCCTCCTACGACTGCTGCTACTCCTGCTGCGCTACCTATTCATACTACGGGTAAAACGCCTCCTACCCGTAATAAAAGTCTGTGTGCTGCTACCACACCAGTAGCAGCTTCTCCTGCGGCTACTACAGCAGTAGCAGCATCTCCTGCTGCTACCACAGCAGTATTATCTCCTCCCGGCGCTCCTGCAACGATAGCAGCATCTCGTATTGCTCCAGCAGTAGCGCCAGCTTCTGCTGCTGCCGCAACAACAGCAGCTGCTAGGAAGGGGGGTGCAGCGGTAGTAGCAGCTTCTCCTGCTGCTGCTCCTGCAGCAACAACAGCAGATGGTGGCAGCTGTGTTACAGGAGTACTAGCCTCTCCTGCGGGTGGTATTACAGTAATAGCTTCTTCTGCTGCGGCGACAGTCACCTCTCCTGCGTGCACCAAAGTAGTAACACCGTCCTCTGCATCTGCAACCACAGCGACTGCTTTTGGCCCTACTACAAAAGTAGAAACTACTTCTGCTGCTGCTGTTGCAGCTGATGCTGGCGCTACGGCAGCGACTTCTAGTAGGGGATGCGCCACAGAAGCAGCACCTACTCCTGCCTGTGCAGCAACAGCAGCCGCTAGAGGGAGGACTACAGGAGCAACAGCAGCTTCTCCTGCGGCTGCAACATCAGCAGCTTCTGCTGCCGCAGCAACATCAGCAGCTTCTCCTGCGGCTACAACATCAGCAGCCTCTCCTGCGGCTGCAACAACAGCGGCTTCTCCTGCGGGTGCAACAATAGCTGCTGCTGCTGAGGGTGCTATAGCACCTGTTTCTTCTGCTGCTCCTGCTGCTACGCCAGCTGCTTTTTCTCCCGCTACTGCAGCTGCTCGTGCAGCTACAACAGCTCCTGGTGCTGGGGGCCCAGCAGCAGCAGCAGCAGCTTCTGCTGTTACAGCCGGGGCAGCTCGTAGTGCTGCCGGAGCAGCAGCACCAGTAGCAGGCGACAGTAGTAAGGGGGGGAGTAACACAAATAAAAGGGGATCTTTGTCTGTAGAGGAAACGGCCGTATGCAACGGCGGCAGCAGTAAAAGACGTAAAGAGGAGACTTGCGGGGTCCCGATTGCTACCGGTATTCCTACTACTAGTATTAATACTGCTACAGCAGCAGCAGTGGCCCCACATTATATTGTAGGTAAGGAGGGTAGTAGCTCTGCTACTTCCCCCGGCCACAGGAGCAGCAGATGAAGGAAGAACAACAGTAGCAGCACGTACAACGGGAGCACCTTATGGAGGTACTGCGACTGCAACGGCAGGAGCAACAACAGCGCCAGCAGCAGCAGCAACAGTGCCAGCAGCAGCAGCAACAGCGCCAGCAGCAGCAGCAACAGCACCGGCAACAAGCATCGCACCAGCAGCAAGAGAGCCAGCAGCAGCGGCAACAACAGCAGCAACAAACGTACCAGCCAAAACACTAGCAGCAACAGCAGGAGCAACAGGAACAACAATACCACCAGCAGCAGGAGGAGGAGGAGCAGAGTGTGTGAAGGAACCTGCAGTAGATGGTGCTGGAACAGCAGCAGCTTCTCGTGGTGCATCTGTCTTGTCTCCGGTGTCTCCATCCTCCACTGCGTTTCCAGCTGTTGCAGCTACAACCGCTAGTCTTCCCCCCTCCTCTTCTGCTGCTGCTGTTGGTGAATCGCGTCAGCAGCAGCAGCAGCCGTTGGACTCTGCTGCATCTATCACCAGTCGTGACCCCATCAATGCAGCAGCACCTACACAGCAGCGGCAGCTGCAGCAACAGCGGCCACTGCCACAGGAGCCGCAGTCGCAGCACCCGCCGCTGCAGCAGCAGCCTGAACAGCTGTCACAGCAGCAGCGGCAGCAGTTGCCGCAGCAGCAGCAGCAGTCGCCGCAGCAGCAGCAGCAGTCTCAACAGCTGCCACAGCGGCAGCAGGCACAATCAAACCAACAGCAGCTACAGCAGCAGCCGCTGCCACACCGGCAGCAGCAGCAGCAGAACTGCCACAGCCTGTGCAGCAACTGCCACAGGAACCGCAACAAGTCGTACAGCGGCAGCAGCGACTGCCACAGGCGCAGCGGTCGCTATCATGTGAGCAACAGCAGCAGCAGCCACTGCCACACCGACAGCAGCAGCAGCAGCCGCTGGCGCACGTGCAGCAGCTACAGCCGCAGCAGCAGCAGCAGCTGCCACATCAGCTGGCACACAAGCTGCCGCCGCAGCAACAAGTGCCGCAGCAGCTGCCACAGCAGCCGCAACAGCAGCAGCCGCAACAGCAGCAGCCACCACAGCAGCAGGTGCAGCCGTTGCAGCAGGTGCCACAGCAGCAGCCGCAGCTACCACACCAGCTGCCGCCGCCGCAGCAGCAGCAGCTGACACAGCAGCAACAGCAGGTACCACAGCAGCAACAGCAACTACCACAGCTGGAGCAGCACGTACAACAAGGGCAACAGCAGCTCCCCTGCAGCACCACCAACTACCACAGCAGCAGCTGCAACTACCACACCAGCACCTGCCACAGCAGCAGCAGCAGCAGCTATTACCACAGCAGCAGCAACTTGTTATGTCATCAGCAGAACCTCCAAGCATCACCTCTCAGATTATTGCCACGCGTAGCGCTTCTGAGGCAGTAACCATGGTTGCTGTTCCTGCAGGAGCCTCTTCTTTTGCTGCTCCTGTGCAGCATCATCTTCTAGTACTGTGGCTGCAGATTCACGTGGTTCCTCTACAGCAGCGAAGCAGCAGCAGCCGCCGCCGCCGCAGCAGCAGCAGAGGAGAGGGTCTGCTGGGACAGGGAGAAGCAGGTACTGCAGCAGCAGCAGCAGGAGGAGGACAAAAGAGAGAGGAAGGACAGTAGTGGTTCTGCTACTGCTGCGGCAGGGAGAGACAACTCTGCTGTTTTCAGCAGTGGCAGCGCACCACCCCACGCATCTGCGTTATCACCACCTCCAGCAGGCGCAGCAGCACCAGCAGCAAACCATCATACAGCAGAGGGGGGCAACGGAAGAACAACAGCAGGAGCCGCAGCAGCAAGATGTGGAGCAGAAGCAACAGAAGAAACAGCAGCAGCAACAGAAGGAACAGCAGCAGCAACAGAAGGACGGCGAGCGGCGGGTGCTGCTGGCGATGTACCTCTTGCTGCAGCTACCGGCAACCGCACAGCTGCAGCGTCCCCCTCATCGTCTCATCAACAGCAGCAGCGCCATCACCGTCAGGAGCTGCAGCCGCGCCCGTAGCAGTAGCAACACCCGCAGCAGTAGCAACACCCGCAGCAGCGGGAACATCAGCAGCAGGGGCAACAACAGCAACAGGACCGTCAGGAGCAGCAGGAGCTGCGGCGTCGCCTAGAAAGGCAGGAAAGGGACAATTCAGTAGTGGTGGGGGAGCAGCAAATACCCTTGAGAGGACACCTTTATCCGCCGCTTCTCGCTCTTCTTCTTCTTCTTCACGCACGCCTTCGTCATCTGCTGGTGATGTCAAGGAGCCTGGTAATAGGAGCCACAACAGCAGCAACGGCAGCACCAACTCCAGCGGCAGCAGCAGCACCAGCGGCAGCAGCAGCACCAGCGGCAGCAGCAGTCAGAGGAGCAATAGCAAGCAGTCGAGTACTGCAGGCATGACGGATGGCACCAGTCAAAGTGACAACAGCAGCAGCGGCAGAGGAGGAGGAGGAGGAGGAACAGGATCAACAGGTACAGCAGGATCAACAGGCAGCAACAGCAGCAGCAGCGGCAGCAACATGAGGAGAGATACAGAGAAGACAACTGGCCGCAGCGTGAATGGAGACATGCAGCAGCAGCAGCTGCTGCAGCAGCCTGCTGCTGCTTCATCATCATCATCCTCACGTCAGGGGAAGCCTTCATCTTCTTCGACTGCTGCTAGTATCGCCACAACTAGTAGTAGTGCAGCAGGTACGGAGGATTCGTTTGTGTGTGACGCCGATACATTGGCGAGTCTGTTGCAAGTCAGTCAGGCCATGAAAGCGCAGGCATTGCACCAGCAGGAGCACCAGCAGCATCAGCAGCAACAGCAGCAGCGCGAGCCGCAGCAGCAGCATGACCGTCAGCAGCAGCAGCATGCGCGTCAACAGCGGCAGCCACATGAGCAGCAGCAGAAGCAGCAACAGCAGCAGCAGCAACAGCAGCAGCAGCAGCGGACAATTGCGCACCAGGAGCAACAAACAGCCCTGCGACAGCGACACCAGCAGCAGCAGCAGCAGCAGGCAGCAGCACTACAGCATCAGCAGCAGCTGCAGCAACAACGACTGCAGCAGGACGAAGAGGAAGCACAAAGGAAACTACAGGAACTGCAGCAGCAGCTAACACTGCAGCTCTCGCAGCAAATGCAGCAGCAGCAGCATCCAGAAGGTGATGATGAAGAAAGACAAGGACAGCAGCAATTACAACAGCAGCAGCTGCTTCAACAGCTCCTGCAGCACTTGCAGACTCAGCAGCTGATGCTGCTGCAGCACCAGGAACAAAGACAGTTAGAAGCTAAAGAAGGAGGAGGAGGAGGAGGCGGCTGTCAGACGTACAGTTTCGCTACGAGTATGATGGACCGTGCGGGGTTCACCGAATACGTCACCATCATTGTCAGCAGCAGCAGTCCCACCTACTACTACTGCGACTACCATTTCTTCAGGACCAACACCACCAGCAGCAGCAGCGGGAGGAGGAGGAGGAACAGCAGCAGGATTTTCTTCTTCTTCTTCCTCTTCCTTTTGCGGCGGTGGCGGTGGCGGCAACGGTGGTGATGGCGGTAATACTCCTGCTGCGGCTGCTGCTTCTCAGTCTCCTTCTTCTCGACGCCGTCAGACGACAGCAGCAGCAGCACGAGGAGGAGGAGGAGGAGGAGGAGTGCCGTATCTTCTTCTTCTTCTGCACCACCACCACTATCATCCGCAGCTTCAGCTTCCTCAGCAGCAGCGGCACCATCAGCAGCTGCGGCCCCATCAGCAGCAGCAGCAGCACTGATGGGTGTAAGTGGAGGCGTGGGAGGTGTGCAGGAGCAGGTGATGTTGCTGCGCGGATTGCAGCAACAGCTTGCGCCTTCAGGGAGTGGGACTGCTGCGGAGAAGCCTCAGGAAGCAGCAACAGCAGCAGCAGCGGCAGCATTCGCTGCGGCTGCTGCAGCACAACAGCAGCAGCAGCAGCAGCAGGAAAAACATGCATTAGTCGCAGCACTTGAAGCCGCGAAAGGGCGGCTTTACTGGAGCAGCAGCAGAGGGAGATGGATACTCGACTGGCGTTCTCCACCTTCTTCGCTCTCATCGTCTTCCTCCTCTGCACAAGGAAGCAGCACCAGCAATAGCAGCAGCAGCAGCAATAGCAGCAGCAGTAGTGAGGGTTCAAAACAGAAGCATGCGCAGCGACAGCACCCGGCGCAGCAGACGGGAGACCACCTGTCGACGCAGAGACAGCAGCAGCAAGAACAGCAAAAGCAGCAGCAACAGCATGCAGCAGGTGGTAAAGCTTCTTCTTCGTCTTCTCCTTCTTCTCGTGGAAGTGGTTCTGCTGCTGCTGCTGCTGCTTCTCCAGGTGCGGCTTCTACAGATTCATCAGGGGGGAGCGGGGGTGGCAGTGGTGGTGTTGCTGCTGCTACTCCTGCTGGTTCTACTACTGCTCCATCATCGTCTTCAGCAGCAGCACGAGCAGCAGCGGCTTCCGCAGCAGCAGCAACAGGAGGAGACAGCGCACCTCCTGGGGCTGCTGCTACGAAGACAACAGCTCATGGTGGAGGCGAAGGTAGCAGTAGCAGTGATAATGGTAGCAGTAATAACAGTAGCAGCAGTAGCAGTAGTAGTGGTAAAGAGGGAGGAGGAGCAGCAGGGCCACCTCCTCACCCACAAAGACAGCAAAAAGCATTTGCTCGCAGTAGTTACTTGGGCCTTGCTGCTCCAGTAGTAGCAAATTTGTTTCTTCAGAAGGCGATACGAGAAGGAAGAGATGCAGCAGAGAGGTGGTTTAGAGGTCTGTGCTCTTTAGATGATCTTCGGCAACAGCAGCTGAAGCAGCAGCAGCAGCAACAGCAGCAGCAACAGCCGCACAAAAAGGAGGAGCACGAGACCCAGCAGCAGCAGCAGCGCCCACAGCAGCAGCCACAACAACAGCACGCTCAGCAACAGCAGCAGCCGCATCAACAGCAGACTGGTCAGCAACAACGACAAGGAGGAGGCGGAGGAGGAGCAGGAAGAGCGGGAGGAGGTGGAGGAGGCCATCATCATCCACATCGTTCACAACAGCAACGCAGTACACAACAGCAGCAAGATTTAACACAACAGCAGCAGCAGCATCAGCAGCATGTACTGCAAGAGCAGCATCCTCAGCAGCAGCAGCAGCAGCAGCGGAGTGGTGGCTCTCGACAGGCGGTGCTCTCTCAACAGGGAGGACAGCAGCACGGAGGACAGCAGCGCCCGCCGCAGCAGCACCAGCAGCATCAAGGAACTGCTGCTGCTGCTGCTCTACTTGATCAGCCATCATCAGCCCAGCAGCCACAGCAGGCAGGCGCCCATGCAAAGCAGATACCTACGCAAACGCCACAGTTACATCTAACGAAACAGCAGCAGCAGCAGCAACGGCAGCAACAGCAACAGCAGGGCGGCACAGGGGGAGGACGTCCTAGCAGCAGCCATAGTGGCATTAGTACGGCAGCTGTGACTTACAAAGGAGGTGAGCAAGCGAAATCTGCTGCGAATGCTGCGGCTTCACACGCAAATAGTACCAGTAATAGTAGTGGGACTGCCGCTGCAGCGTCGCCTCCTAGTGCCGTAAGTACTGCGGTACTCTGTCAAACCCCACACAATCATCATCCGCAGGCAGCAGCAGTGGGTGGGAATGGTGGTGTGGGTGGTGCAGGAGGAGGAGCAACAGCAGTAAATGGGATTGCTACATCTGTAGGGGCATGGCATGCAGCAGCGACACCACAGGCGCAACATAAGATGCAGCAGCAGCAGCAGCAGCGGCAGCCGCATCATCAGGAGACAGGAGGAAGCCAGAGAGAGCAACAGCAGCAGCAGCAATTAATGCAACAACAACAGCAGCTGCAAGGACAGCAAAATTCAAGACGATGGGCACCTGAGACTATAACAACGGGTGGATCATCTTCATCATATACGCCAGTGGTAGTACGAGGGGGGGGGGACTGGTGCAGCATTACCTGCGACGGCAGCAGCGCATGCTGATGCTGCCCGGCAACAGCAGCAGCATCCACCTGCATACTCGCAGCAACAGCAGCAGCAGCAGCAAAGACCAGCAGGAGGTGCTGCGGCAGAGAAATTGTCTGGAGGAGAAGCAGCAGCAGGAGGTGGTGGGTCCGCAGTATCACGAAAGGCGCCTGGGACGGCGAGCAGCAGCAAGCGCCCAGAAGCAACAACACCAGCAGCAGCAGCAGGTAGCGGGAGTAATGGGGTACAACGTGTGTCACATGAACAGCAGCAACAGCAGCAGCCGCAGCAATCCGGTCAACAGCAGCAGCAGGCACCTGAACGGCAGCACCCTACAGGACGAGGTAGACGTGCGCGCTCCACAGCGACAACAGGAGGAGGGCAGCAGCAGCAGCATGCACCGCCGTCTAAGAGAGCGAAATACAGCAGTTCTGCTTTGGAGACTACAGCTGCTACTACATCGTCATCATCATCTACTGCTGCTTCTTCCTCCGGAGGAACATCTGGCTCGAATCCTGCTGCTGCTGGTGGTGGTGCTGCTGGTGGTGGTGCTGCTGCGTCTTCTTCGGGTCTTCCCCGCCTATCACTTCCTGCTGCGCCTGCTGCTGCTGCTGCTGCTCTTTCTTCCGATCCGACTGCATATAGCGGGACAGCAGCAGCACCAGCAGGACTACCTACAGCAACAAGAGAAACAACTACTACTAGTACTGCTACAAATGCTACCAGTAGTACTGGTGCTTCTGCATCGAAGTCCCGTGGTTCCACAGCTGCCAGTGCTGCTGCTCCTAGTTTTAGTACTACAGCTGCCCCTTCTTCGTTGCGTGGCAACTCTACCGGGGCTGCTACTGCTTCTCCTACGCCTTCTTCTTCCTCTTCTTTACTTGCAGCTGATGGTGTTCCTCCCTCTGCTGCAGCTGCATCCCCTCTTTCTTCATCATCCTCTCCTCTGGCTGCCGCACGAGCCCCTGGGCTTCACCAGGGCAGCAGCGGTACGAGTTTGCCATCAACTGGAACAAGTGGAACAGCAGCAACTACAGGAGGAGCAGCAGCAGGAGGAGGAGGTGGTGGTTCCGCAGGAGGAGGCGGGGCTGGTGGGACTTCAACGGCTGCAGCAGCAGTTGTATCTTCACGCGGTCGTAGTAGTGTGGTGCGTTTCGAGAAAGATAGAGGACGATGGGTAGCGGATTTCTACAACGATGAGGGAAGGAGGAGACAGAAATGTTTTCATTGTAATGTATTCGGAAAAGATGCTCAGAAAACTGCACAGGTAAGTATACATATATAAATATGTATATATGTATGTACATGTATTGATACAGACTCACATATATGTATATATATACGTGTTCTTTCCTGTCTCCATGTCGGCGATCGTTTTTTTTCCTCTAAGGAAAGCGTCTTTTTTTTCCGGACGTGCGTATACCCATATATATGTATATATATATATATATACATTATATATATATGTATATATATACATATATATGTATGTATGTACTTCCTCTCTCCATCTTCGTCTTTGTCTTCGTGCTCTTCCGAAAGCGTATACATTTATACATATATGTATATATGTGTGGATCCCCATTTCTCCGTTGCTGTACATCTGTTCGTTTCTTCGTGTCTCCGTCCCTGACTACGCGCATTTCTCTCCGTATCTGGGTGTTCTCTGCATCCGTACACATGTATCCTTCTGTCCGTACGGTCGTCGTCAGTGTGCCGCTGTTTGTGTATATATGGGCCCGGTGTAGATCTCGATGTATAGGCAGACATCCATGTGGAGACGCCTAGACATGTGGACGTGTGGGACGTGCATACAGGCGTATGGCGTCAGATGTGCGTTTTTCTACTTTATACACGTGCATCCGTACATATATATATGTATATATATGTGTAAGTGTACATACGCAAATATATATATATATATATATATATATATATATATATATGTATATATCGCGTGCGCCCACATATACATATATGTGCGACATAGTGTGTCCCTCTGTGTGGAGGGGTGGACATTCTTTCTTCTCCGCCCCATGAATATGTAGACGCTTCTATTCATGTTTGGGCATATATGGAAGACTGAGCCAAGGATGCCGCGTATGTCTACGTTTCTGCGTATGTCTGCGCCCGCATACGCTGCGGCGCTCGTCGTACGTATATATATGTATATATATATATATATATATATATGTACGGGTGCGCTTGTGTGTATATATATATATATATATAAATGGATATATACATATATACACATAGAAGGTTGAGGGAGAGACGTGGACGGGTGATTGACTGGCTGCTTGTGACTTCGTCGATAGCCTGCGATGTGTCGCAGTCGTGAGGAAAGGCGTAGGCTGCTGTATGTGTCGATGTAGGTGTTTATATCATACATATGTCCATGTATGTACGTGTACCTTATATTATATATATACATATATATACCATATATATATATATATATATATATATCTGCTTCTTGGTGTTGTTGCGTATGCGATCAGGTGTACATGCAGCTAGCGCGGCAGCAGGGGCAGGAAGCGGCAGAGACATGGCTGCGACAGCGTTCAGAGGCTCTGCGCAGCAGCAACAGCGGCGGCAACAGCACCAACGACAGCAACAGCGGCAGCAACAGCGGCAGCAACAGCGGCAGCAACAGCACCAGCGACAGCGGCAGCAGCAACACCAGCAGCAGCGGCAGCAGCGGTGGAGGCTTGGCTGCTGCTGAGGGCTTCAAGTTGCCGTCGGAGCGGTCTTCTGCTGCAGCCGCAGACGGTGGTGCTCTTTCTTCTTCTTCTGTGGCTGGACGTGTGCAACCAACAGCAACAGGAGCAACAGTAACTGCAGCACCGTTAGCAGTAGAGAAGTCAACTGCTGCTGGTGCTGCAGGCTGCTCTGGTGCAGCAGCAACTGGCCCAGTCTCTCCTATGCGCAGAGGAGCTCCGTACAACCACGCTGCAGCTGTTGCTGGAGGGAAGCAGCAGCAGAGTAGACAGCAGCCTTTGCAGCAACAGCAGCAGCAGCACATGCTTCAGGCGCATCAGCCGCAGCAGCAGCAGCAGCCGAGGTCGCAGCAGCAGACACAGCAGCAACCCAAACAGCAGAAGCAATCGAAGCAGCAGCATCAGAAACAACAGCAGCAGCAGCACCAGCATAAGCAACAGCAGCAGACCTCCCAACAGCAGCAGCAGCAGTATCCATCCGAACAACAACAGCAGCACGTGCAGCAGAAACAGCCAGGAGAGGTACGGAAGCAAAGTGTAGGCTATCATGCCGCAAAGCAGCAGCAGCACCAGCAGCACCAGCACCACCAGCACCCGCACCAACAGCACCAGCAGGCTGCTGCTCTTGTAAGTCATAGTGCTGCTGGTATGCACGTATCTGGTGCTATAGGGTCAGTACCAGGGGCAGCAGGAGGAGCAGGAACAGCAGAAGCGCTGGCGTCTCCTACTGGTAGTGGTGTTCTCCCTACAGCAGCAGACGTAGAAGAAGAGCGGCTGCTGTTGCAGTCTATGCTGCTAGCATCTGCAGGAGGAGGAGGTGGCGGTAGTGGAGGAATGCCTCCACGTGTAGCCGTGGCACCCTCCGTGCTGCTGCATGAAGCACTTGTACAGCAGCAGCAGAAGCAGCAGCAGCAGCAGCATCTGCTGCTGCTGCAGCAGTTACAGGCGCAGCTGCAATATCAGCAGCAACTGATGCTGCAGGAGAAAGTTGTATCTGGTGTTGTATCTCCTGCTGCTACTGCGGGAAGTGCGCCTTCTCCGCTCAATAGTGTTGGGTCTCCCATATCCATTGACCCTACTGGCCCCACTCCTACTAGTGCTGCTGCTGTTGCAGAGGCTGCTGCCTCATCATCCTCTTGTGTCTCGCCTGCTACTCTCTACGCCAACATACCTGCTGCTTATCACGAGCGGCAGCTGGTAGGGAATCCGCAATATGCTGCTGCTGCTGCTGGTCGTCCTTCAGGCACTATTCCTGCATGCATGGTAGCTCCCCCAGCAGCAGCCGCAGCAGCAGGAGGAGGAGCTGCAGCAGCACCACCTCCATACGCAGATACAGTAGTAGTAGTGGATCAGAGAAGCAGCAGCAACCGGAGGATAGATACTTCGAACTGTGCTGCTGTTCAGTGTTGTGTGGGGAACGGCACAGCAGCTGCTGCACCAGGACATTCACAACCGCGACGCGCAGCAGCAGCAGGAGGAGGAGGATCAAGAGCAGCAGTACCAGGAGGAGCAGGAGGCACATGCGCAGCATCGAGAGCAGCAGCGGCAGCAGCAGAAGAAGGGTCTGCAGCACCAACAGCAGGAGCAGCAGCAGCAGCAGCAGAGCGGGGTGGAGGGGCGTCTACGGGTCGCAGCAGCAGCTCTTACGGAAAGAAAAGAAGCACCAGGACAACGGCTGAAGCAGATGAAACGGGTGGCGGAGGAAGCAGAGGAGGAGGGGGACCGGCAGCAGCAGCACCAGAAGTAGAAGCAGCAGCAGCGGCAGCAGCAGGTGGTCCTGCAACTGCAGGTGCCACTACCAGTGCTGCTGCTGCTGCTGCCCGACGATGTGCGCGTCCGTCTCTTTCTGCTGCTACTGCGTCTCTTGGGGACCGCCTCTGCTGTCCTGCTGTCGCCATGCGTGCCCCTCCGCTCGCCGTTACAGCAGAGGGCGAGCAGTTATAAAGACACGCTTCTTGTAGAAATTGCCGAATTATATATACGTATGTGTACACTTACGTGTGGATATGTGTTCGTATAAGTAGATACTTATATATACATATATATATGTATATATGAATGTATATCTGTTTGTATATATAGTCGTGTAGATATGTTACGTGCTTCCAAAGAGATAAAATTCGGGCGGTCTTCTGTTTCTATGCAGAACGATGCGCATGTGTACCCGTAGAGGCAGATATACCGATATGCAGTGTCAAGTCACAGAGCAGGGGGAGACATATATGTATGTATATATAGACCTGTATCATATAATAATATGGTGTCTGCGTAGAGGAGAGGATCCAACATGAGGCGCTGCTTATGTCTTTCCCTGTTCACGTGCACGCGGATACGTCCGTGGGAGGTTCGCATTCGTAGGGATGTATACGTATATATATATACATAAGACATGATGCAAGAGCGCTAACACGAAAGCAGAAACCATGAAGTTTTTTGAATGGAAAGGAAGAAGAAGAAGTGAATGGAGAGGGAGATACTGCGGAGAGAAGAGCAAATGCGCGGGAGACCCTTGAATAAATGAAGTCTGTACACACGTATGTAAATACATGTCTTGTGAATTATTGTACATGTTAAGTCAGCCAAGTGGTGTCTAGATTCATACAAAATATTCATAGGAATTATGCGGGAGATATATGAACCATGTGGAATATATATATATATATATATATATATATATATATATATGTCGAAACAACCGGGTGAATGTATGCACATGAGTAGTATATGTGTATGTGTGTGCACCGTGTTCATTTGCTTAATTTACCGGTGTGCGTGTGCATGCATCCTATGCGCATATATATGTGTGTGTACGTATCTACGGCCGTGTTTCTACAGTTTCTAAAGATGTGTATTAAATATATATCTCTACATACATATATATATACATGTATGTGTATATGCATCTCTTCCACTTGTTGGAGAGATGGGAGCGCTACTACGTATATATAGGGTTCTTTCCAAACACGTCTCCCCGTCTGTATAGGGTTCTTTCCAAACACGTCTCCCCGTCTGCATATCTCTCTCCGTGTGTATATATATATATACATATTGTGCATATATGTATGTATGTATGTGTGGACGTTTGCGCGTGTGTATGTACGGACGGATATGCGTTTACGTGTGTCTGCGTACACAAAAATAAGACTTTGACTGTCAAACTGCGCAGGTGTATTGTTCCCGATAACTCCATAAAACTGCAGAGAACGTGTAATGAAAGCGCGTCCGTATATTGACTTACTATATATATATTTCTGTGTGCCTGAATGTATAGAAATTCGGATACCACTATATACATATATATATATATATATATATATATATATGCGCACACGCGGAGACGGGTGCTTTCTTTCTCGTCCGTGTCTTTAGCAGCGGTCTTCACATATCGTGCATACCGATGCCTCATCCATACTACCACCCGCGTACACAATGGCAGGCAGTGTTGGTGGACACAGTAGCAGAGAGCGCGTGCCTTATACAATAGCAGGCCGTGTCTGGGTATACGATAGCAGGCAGTGCTTCAATATCCGACAGCAGGCAGCGCCTCAGGTAGAGCCCTTACAGATATTAGCAGGTAGCGCTTACGTATACCTAAGTTGGCAGCGCTTGCATATACACTAGGAGGTCGCAGTTGTCTATACAGTAGCAGGGAGTGCACATATGTATATGGCGGCAGGTTGCACTTGTGTACGCACTGCAGGCACCACTTGTATACTCAGTAGCAGGCGGCACTCTTTTGTCAATAGCAGGCGGTGCCTGGATATACAATAACAGGCAGGGTCTGGGTATGCAACAGTAGACAATGGTAGTGCATACAATAGCATGCAGCGCTTGTATATACCAGTATGTAGCGCTTATACATACAACAGCAGGCAGCGCTTATATATACACTGGCAAATCGCACTTGCGTGCACAATAGCAAGCAATGCTTCTATGTAAGTAGCAGTAGCAGGCAGCACTCTTATATACAGTAGCAGGCAGTGCTTGGATATATGACAGCAGGCAGTGGTCGGATATCCAGTAGCACGCAGCGCTCGTATACGCACTAACGGGTAGCGCTTGTATACACACTGGCAGGCAGCGCTTGTACATGCAGCAGCAGGTAAGGCTTGTATATACAAAACAGGCAGGGTTAGGGTTTATAATAAAAGACAGCGCTTGCATATGCACTCGCATGCAGCGCCCGACTATACAATAGCAGGCAGTGCTTGGGTATACGCTGGTAGGTAGCGCTAGCATATACACCAACGGGTAGCGCCCCTGTATACGACGGCAAACACTGCTTGTATATGCGGTGCCAGGCGTGGGCTGGATATTCAATAGCAGGCAGCAGTTGTATCTTTCTGTGTACAGTAGCAGCCAATGCTTGGATACACAGTGGCAGGCAGCCCTTACATATGCACTGAAGGTGCGCTTGTATGCGCGCAATAGGCAGCGCTTGTATATACCTCAGTAGGTAGCGCTTGTACAGGCAACAGCAGGCAGCGCGGTAATATACACTAGCTGGCAGTGCCTGGATATAAAATAGCAGGCAGCGCTTGTATATACAGTAGTAGGTATCGCTTGTATATACAGTGCTGTTGCGCGTAGAAGCGCCGCCTGTCAGTGCCTATATGAGCGCTTACGGCTAATGCGTATACAAGCGCTGCGTGCTGCTGTATATGCGAAACTGCCTGCTCCTGCAGAACCAAGCATTGCCTACTAGCCTTGTAGGTGCAGCAGCTGATCGCGCTTGCGTATACAGCAGCAGTCAGTGCTTGTCTATGATAGCAGGCAGCATGCGTATATACAGTAGCAGATAGCGCTAGTGTATAGAATAGCAGGCAGGGCTCGGATATACAATAGAAGGCAGTGCTATATATTTACAATAATAAGTAGCACCTGCATACGCAGTAGCAGGCGGCGCGTGAGGGTACACAAGCGGGCAGCGTTTATATATGCAATAGCTGGTAGTCCTTGCACATACAACTGCAGGCAGCATACGCATGTACAAGAGCAGGCGGCGTACACATATACACCAGCGGGCAGCGCGTCTGTGCATAGTATGCCGCAGCGCTTGAGTATACAACAGTGGACAGCGCTCGTATACGTGAACAATAGCACGCAATGCTGTGATATGCAGCAGCAGGCAGCGCTTGTGTGTGCCATAGCGGGCAGCAGTTGCGCATACAGCAGCAGGCAGCACCTGTATATATAATAGCAGGCAGCACGTGTGCATACGGAAGTCGGCAGCGCTTGTATACCCAGTAGCAGGCAGCGTTCGTATACACATTGAGAGGCGGAGCTTGTATATGCAGTAGCGGGCAGCGCTTCTATATACAGTAGCAGGCGCCGCCTGGATATACAGTAGCAGAGGGCGCTTCTACGCGCAAAAGCAGGCAGCACAAGGGTATGTAGCCGCCACCGCGGACTGACGCTCATGCTGGTGCTGAGTGTATCTTCGCTTTTGCGAGGCGTGTTGCGTTAAGGCTGCTGCGTATGCAGGAGGAGATGCATATATATATATATATATAATATACATGTGCATATACGTGTGTGTGCACGTGTATAATCTATGCATGCATATATACATATGTGAGCGTTCTTAAACTTCAGAAGAAACACGTGTCCTCGCAGCGCTGCGGGAGAAAACGGATATAGGGGCAGCTGTGTGTACGAAGGGGTGCTATTTCACTTACAGCAGAGGCACTAATAGTGCCTCATGAATGCCCCGCTGCCTCTATAGTACACTATGACTTCTCGGCTTTCGTATGGAAGACGATGTGTTTCTATACACATACGTGCGCAGTGGGGTCGAAAATATGCGCGCTACAGCAGCAGATTTAGCAAAAACAAACAGAAACAAAGATACACCTATTTCTCGAATGACGTTCCGCGTGAGATGCCTTGCTAGTGGGTACCCACAGGAGTTTTCTTGCGTATTACTACTGATAGAAGTAGTAGTAGCATTAGTAGTAGTGCTAGCGGCGGCAACAGTGTGGTAATAGTTGTAGTAGTAGCAGTAATAGGAGTAGTTGTAGTAGTGTCACTAGTCGTAGAGGAGGAGAGACGAGGGAGGTTCTTGTGTATTGCGACTGTAGTACCGGAAGTATTAGGAGCAAGAGAGGCAGTATTAGTGTAGTGGTAGCATTAGTAACAGCGGGGATAGTGTAGTAGTAGTAGTAGTAGTAGTAGTAGTAGTAGTAGTAGTAGTAGTGGTACTAGCAGAAGCAGTAGTAGTAGTAGTAGTACTTGTAGTAGTAGCGGTTGTCGTAGCAGTAATATCCCGTTTCTGTCTACGTCTAGGACGAGAAGGCGATGACAGCTAAGAGACTGGTGTGGAACAGACAGAGGCTCTGACAGAAGGCAGAGAGAAGCCGTACGCAGCTGCAGAAAAGAACAAATGCTCCCTAGTCGGTGCGGCTAACCCTGAGTATTTATATATATATATATATATATACATATATATACGTGTATATAGTCTCTGTGGCTTAGCATGTATACATATATATGTATATACATATATATGTAAATATATATATATATATCTATATATATATATATATCTATATATGAAGGGCTGCACAGACGGAGTCGTTTGGAGAGACATACCTACGTGTGTGTATTCTTGGTGTACTGCCTGAACTAGAGATTACTGTATGTGCCGCTATTACATTGATGACAGTATACACTCACAAGGATAAGAGAGGAAGTGCTTGTGTAGGTGTACAGCGTATACGCAGGAGGCCCGGTCTTCACCCGGA